GACATGTGCATGGATGGATGGACGGATGCATGTATGCATGAATGGATAGATGGATGGATGCATGGATGGATGGATGGATGGATGGATGCATAGATGTATGAATGGATGGATGGATGGATAAATGGATGTATGCATGAATGATATATACATGGATGTATGGATGGATGGATGCATGGATGCATGAATGGATGGATGGATGCATGCATGGATAAATAGATGTATGCATGGATGGATGCATGGATGAATTTATGTATGCATGGATGTATGCATGGATGGATGGACATGTGCATGGATGGATGGACGGATGCATGTATGCATGAATGGATAGATGGATGGATGCATGGATGGATGGATGGATGCATGTATGCATGAATGGATGGATGGATGCATGTATGCATGAATGGATGGATGCATGGATGGATGGATGGATGGATGGATGGATGGATGGATGGATGGATGGATGGATGGATGGATGTACAGTAGTCCCTCAGTACTTCGTGGTTCGACTTTCTCAGATTCGCTCCTGCACGGTTTTTCAAAGATTGGACGTGACACACAGTTGGCTGATTGATGGATGAGCCGCACGATTGGCATGGACTGTTTATTTAAAATAAATTACTTTAAATGATGTAGCAGGTGTTAAATCATTTAGTGCAGGGAGAAGCTCCCTCCTGCAGCCTGTCATGATCTCCACTCTCTGCCACGCACACGTTTCTCCTCCTGCTGCAGCAGCTGTGAAGGGTTAACCCTTTGCTGTCCAGCTGCACCGATCGGCTTTTGTCTTCCAACTTAAAATTCAAAGTATGTCACATCGTACAATCATCATAATCACAAAATATAAAAGTGTTATTTTTAATTATTTTAGAACTTCTATGTTCAGTTGTTACAGTGTAATTCAAGGGTGCCCAATATGTCAAGGTAATATGAGTAGATTGGATGGCGAAGTACACAAGACTTTTTAAAATTTATTTATTTTCATTTTTATTTTTTCAATAAACATCAGCCTATCAGTATATGTATGTCACAAACATACATATACTGATGTACCGTAATGTACCAAAACTTTGACAAAAAAAAAAGCTCATGTTTTGAACATTCACGGCAAAAAGCTGAAGAAACAGAAACATTATTGTGGGCAGAAACACTTGAAGTGAGTTTTTGAGCTGAGATAAAGTGTATTACCCAACAACAAAGTATAAACGTCTGTGGGTTTGCTCCAGCAGCACATTATTCTGACCTCAGGGTTAAAAAACAGATTTAGCTTCATGCCTGTTTTTCCCCGTCAGATGTCTGACATGTCGGTTTGTTGGAACAGCAGGTTGATGTTTGTATAGAAACCCGAGTGTGAGGCAGTACCTGTTCGACAGCGTGTAAGCAGGTACACAGCTGAGCCTGTAAACTAAGGACCGACTCCAGAGGCAGCCGGTGCAGCAGCTGGAGTTGATGCAGTGCAAGGTGGGGATTGTCTCCGCTTCGTAAACTCTCCATCGCCTCCTGCAGGAGAGAAATCTGCCTCTGCGCCGCCTCCTCGGCCTGCCGGGCTCGGTCAGCCTCGGCAGCTGACCGTGCTGCGTTTGCACGGGACTCCTTTGCGTCTGCTTTGAGCGCAGTCCAGGACTGGAAGAGGGACGAGACGTGCACGTTTATTTTCAGCTCAGATTCAGCTCCTGAGTTGATCAACAGAAAGTTTGTCAAAAGGAACGGGTCCTTTTCTTACAAGAAGCCACAGGCGCTCCTCTACCTACCTACCTACCTGAGCTGTGTGTCTCCAGCTGTGGCCCCACTGCTTCAGCGCCCTGTGAGCGTCCTCCAGCTCCTGCTTGAGTCTGCCGGTCTCTGAGCAGGGGCCAGAGGGGAGCAGGGCGGGGGGCGTGCCGGGAGAACCCTGATCAGACGGGAAGTGCTCCCAGATATTTGTGCTCATGCCATTCAAACCTACAGAGAACAAGATAAGCATGAAGTGATCCCTCGGGACACCACTTGGCTTTTTGAACATCAATCTGCGCACCTAAAGAGCTGTGGGAGGGCCCCAGAAAGGGGCTCTCTGATTGGCCTGGCTGGGACAGGTGAGTAGAGAAGAAAGGTGAGGCCTGGGGCCTGACGGGGGGAGATGGAGAAGGGGAACGGAAGGGAGCGGAGCTGCTGAAGGACCCTGGAATGTTGACTGGAGCAGAACTCTGGAGCTGGCTGCCTCCTACGACACCAAAGAGCAAAGAAATTAAAGAATGAGCTAAATCCTGCACATTCACGTGTAGCTTCTCGTTTCGTGTGTTCTGGTTTTTAAAATACCTAGCATAAGCCCCACGCTTGAGAGAGAACGGCTCTCCAAGCTTCTCTCCAAAGCAGAGACTCCAAAGTCGTTCAAGTCGAGATCATCCAGGGCAGACTCTGTCACAACAACAGACCTCCGGTTAATGATTACCCAACGTGTGGACTCGGCTCTCTCATCGTCGTTACGCACCAACAACCGACTCCACGGTCTCTCTGGTGGGGTAGAAGGGCAGGGCGTTGGCGTTCATGCCTGATGTGATGCTGGAGCCCAGCGGTCCCAGAGGGGCGGGGCTTGGGGGCGTAGCTGCCAAGCTGGAAGGGATGCTGGAGGACAGACTCAACGGGCTGCCAACAGGCAGGAACACCAACAAGTCCTAGAGAGAAAACAACGATGGCTCTTAATAAAGGAACGCACATCAGTCCCTGCCGTTAAACGAACGGGATCGTTTTATAAAAAGAACAACAATCAGATCATCTGGGTCCAACTGAAAACACTGCGAGTGACTTTCAGCTACTACCACACAAATGTGTGTAAAACTGACTGCTCTGCATTTCTGTGCTCTCTAAACTCAGCTGTGGCGGCCATGATGAATCAGGACGACTGGACGTGCGTCCAATCATCACGTTCTGTGGCAGGGGTCCCCAGCAGGTGGGTCAATGTCCAGATCCAGACCTGCATAAACTCCATTCAAACCTTCTGAGGCGTGACATGGACGTTCGCGGTGAGATGTATTGCATCACTTCCTGTTTTCTTTGCCGGTAGCTCGAGTACTTTTGTTTGCATGAGTCGTCTTTTGTTTTCTGGATTTATCCATCTTTTGCACTTTTTCATTCTAGTTTACAAACACCCTCAGCACAGTTGTTTTTCTACTGTTTGAAACACCTTGTGTCTTTCAACACTTCTCTGTTTTTATTGGTGTATTGCAGGGGCGCCCAATATGGCGATCGCGATCGACCAGCAATTTCAGTAGATTGCACGGTGAAATAGACGTCAGACTTTTCTTTTTTTTTTTAATAGACGTCAGCCGATCAATCTATCTTCACTATGCAAATCATCACTTGATTGACGTACAGGGCAGCCAATCAGAGGTTGGATCTTTTCTGACACTTAGGTCACCACACATGCGCATTTAACTGCACTAAAAACAAACGAGTTGACTCATAATAGCCTCCAGTTTATATCTAAACTCAATAAAGTGTGTAAAATGAGTTGGGGAGGTGGACCATGTAAGAAACAAAAAATCTACCATTTCCATACAGAATGGGAGAAGGACTTTTTTTTCCCCGTCATATTCAAAGTGCGTTTCACCGGAGCAGCATTTTCAGATTTAATGATTTTAGTATTCATAAATACTACGGCACTGACTTCCTTCTGAAAACTGAACTGAGAAAGAAAATGGTAAAGGAAGTAAAATCCCAGTTATCTGGACAGCAGTCATTTTTCTTACAGCTGACCATCAGCGAAGCATCAGTCCGGGCGAGTCACTTTAATAATTGTTCAGCACAAGAAGTCTTTTCAAGATGGAGAGATGGTAAAAGAGTTATTTGTTGAAGCAGCTGACTCGTTGTTCAGAGACTTTAAAAACAAACCAGAACTATTATCTTGATCAAAGCTCTCCAGGTATCAAGAAATACGGTCAAGATAAAAGCAGCTGCTGTCAGGGCTGAATTTTCACTTTTGTTCTCAGGTTATTTTTCAAACATGAAGTTATTCATGTTGTTTTCTGTTCCTTTGTGTGAAGAACAGAAGTTATTGCTGTGCTTTGTTTATTATTTTGTACATGGACAGTAAAAATAAATTGTCACTTTTTTTTTTAAACAAACTTTTGGGTTTTGTCATTTATGTTGCGTCCACAGCGAGCTGGTACTTATTCATTTATTCAAGCTTTATTTATCCAGGTTAGTCTCTTTGAGTCACGAGGACTCATTTACAAGACAGACCTGTTCTAAACAAACAACATATAAAGTACAGACAACAATAAACTACAGTAAAATGCAGCTAAAATAAAAGTAGTGTTATAAAACAATAAATCAAGGAGCCATATAAAACATGGTAAAATGCTAAAAACAAGAACGTAAAACATAAAAAGCATACTTAATATGTTTATAAGTATTTGTTTTGTATTTTTATATTAGGTAGATCACTTGGACTTTGTCATTTTAAAAGTAGCTCGAACGCTGAAAAAGTGTGGGCACCCCTGATGTATTTGGCTCTGCTAGCTCTTGCTAGCATTAGCTTAGCATGGCTGCTGCTTCCTCTGTTTTCTCTTGCTCCGTGTGTCAGATGTTTAGTTACTCCTCTGCCTCCTTTAGTGATAATGATACATGTAACAAATGTAGTCTTATGATAGCTTTTGGAGGAGAGGCTGTCTGAACTGGAAGCTCGGCTCCGTGCTGTAGAAAAACCAGTAGCTAGCCAGGTCCCCTTAGACAGCGCGGAACCACAGAGGCTAGCTCCCGTTAGCTGTCCTCCAGCAGACCCCGAGCAGCCGGGACCCCAGGCCGGCTGGGTGACGGTCCGGAGCAAATGTAGTGCTAAGGCTAAGCCCCCAGTTCACCACCGACCCGTTCACGTTTCTAATAGATTTTCCTCGCTCAGTGACACACCCGCTGAGAAGCAGACCCTGGTTATTGGAAGCTCCATAGTCCGAAACGTGGCTTTAGGGACTCCAGCGGCCATAGTCAAATGTATTCTGGGGGCCAGAGTGGGCGACATAGAATCTTATCTGAAACTGCTGACTAAGGCTAAATACAGTAAGATTGTTATTCACGTCAGTGGTAATGACACCCGGTTACGCTAATCGGAGGTCACTAAAATTAATGTTGCTTCGGTGTGTGACTTTGTTAAAACCATGTCGGACTCCGTAGTTTTCTCCGACCCCATCCCTAATCTGACCAGCGATGACATGTTTAGCCGTATGTCGTCGTTTAACCGCTGGGTGTCCAGGTGGTGTTCTGACAATAAAGTCTCTTCAGGACCAAGATCTGTTCTTCAAATGTCACTTTGCAGCTGCACATCACATTTACACACAGTCTGAAGTGTGAAACGGCCACTGCAGCCTGTTTGTGCTGCTCACTGGTTTATACACGAGGCTCGCTGGTTTATACACGAGCCTCGCTGGTTTATACACGAGCCTCACTGGTTTATACACGAGCCTCACTGGTTTATACACGAGGCTCACTGGTTTATACACGAGGCTCACTGGTTTATACACGAG